GATGAGTCCCATACCAGGACGAAACGGCCGTACAGTACTTCAAGGTTTGTAATGTTGGTCTAACAATGATTGATTGGTGATTTCATAATATAATAGGCCTACGAACAAACAATATATCTGAGAATAAATAGATTAGTTTCATTTCTTATAGGTAAAGAAGATAACTAATTGTTTACTATTATGGTTATTATTATTATCATGCAGATATACAACTGAAATAAACTCAAATGTTGACGAGTATTCCACACAATCTTTGTTTATTGTACTGTATGCTTTGGATCTGAATCCGCCGCATCAAATTTCAAAAATTTTTACTAGTTTCAGCGGAAATCTAGAATTGTGTTTTTCCTTAAATTATTTTATTATATTCCCTATGTCACAGTCAATCTAATGCTAGGCTTTGTAAAATTTTATTTTTAATACTTCTTACTGAAATTATTGTTTATCATGTTTTACTCCGTGCAAAAACAAAAACATCCTCTTTAGATTGTCAATTACTAGATTAGCTAGGAGAGAAATTTGAATATTGAATGATTTTAAAAATGATAATAGAATTAATTATTCTCACTGAGTGAGTGTGTTACAAACGACGTAAGAATTTCTATCTGCACCACTATGAACTTGTTTAATTCAACCATAGTGTGTGTGATTTTGCGAAAATTTATAGGTCCTGCAACACTAGGTAAGTAAGTGGGTATGTCATTTTCCTAAATTGATCTCTAATTTTTATGACATCTTACACTGAAAAGAAGTTTACTGTCATTTAGACAATATCACGTCAATTAATGTTATCTTAGTATATTTGTTCAGAATTCTAGGGTAAATATCACGTGGTCAACTGGCAGATTATTTATCCATATTTTCTGTCTTAGCTTGAAATTTTCTCAAAAGCCCAATAGGACCAATGTTCCTAGTCAGCTGTATCCTTTCCTTTTTTTACTTTGTTATGTTGTAGAAAAGGAAAAATTTTGCAGAATGATGTATTGGTCCTTGAGGTTTCTATTCATAGTTGTACAAACAGGTGTCTTTTTAAAAATTACTACAAGACAAGGAGTTTTAAAGAATAAACACACAAACACGCACATACACACACACACAAGAATAGCGTGAATGGTTGTTCTGTTCATTGATTCTCTGCATCCCCTCTTTTTTTTTGAAAATCAACCATATCTTAACTTTATTAAATTTTTATGCTTCATGGGCGTTGACTAACAAGCTGAACACTGTAAATGTGACCTTAATGACGTATATGAGCAAACGCATAAAATGAGGCCGCGTGACTAAATTAATCCTTAAGATACAAATTCTAGGAAATTTGAAATTACGAATTTCAGTAACAATGATACTTATCTCATATTGCCTTATCTGCATTTTCATGACCACAAATGTTACTGATCATGTCACTTCATTCATGTGTACCTATTTCTAATAAGGAAATAATGCATCCAAAAAAATGGTATTAAGCACATCTCTTGGTTGAGAAACCTGGATGATTCATTTAATTGATATATCGATTATTTTAAGTAAATATCTTTGAATGGTTTGTTTGCGTCATTCTTTTAAATGGTCAGATCAAAAATTTCATAAACTACAGCTTTGCCTAATGAAACAGATATCAGAAATCCATCTTTTTATAAAAAATAGTTCACTGACTCAATACAGATATGTAAGGCTAAATACTGTAAGATCATTTGGTCTTACAAATAATAGGGAACAGTTGAAGAAGAGTAATAACCTGTAATTTTACTTTACAGAAAGCAAATGACAGTTGCAATTTAAATTGCATGGTACTAAACAAAATCAAATTTATCCAGATTGTGATATATTTTAATTAAAATTCTTGCAACTGTAAATTTGAATTGCTTAGTGAATGTTAGTGATGAGCCCTATTTCATCAGAATAATTTTTAAAAGATTTTTCTCTATTTGGCAAATGTAACTTTTCACAAAAAACTTTGCCGTTAATATGCTTTTCCAGCTAAACATTTTACTTTGAGTAACTTTTTTTAACCTTAATACGAATCAATTAACATTGCTATGCATTAGAGCAAACATATAAAGAAATTTTCAGTTAGTGAGTAAAAAACAATGAGATATTTTCCATGTTGTACAATTTTATCATTCCAAATCTAATCTTCACTGTTTTAGCCATGGCTAGTATGCTTACTTCAGATTTATATCTTTAAATAAAAAGATTTTTGCTTGCGGTTTGCTTAATGATAGGTTGGTTTCCAAATATTTTGCTGAGCAGTTGATTATAAGGTCCATTATGAATTCAGTAATGGTAAATCTGTGTTTAAGGTAGTGGTTACAAATAGCCGACGGAAGACCCTTGACCTAGGCTTTGTGCTATTTGGCACTCTCCAGCAAGGTACGACTATAATCTTGAGGGAACTGACGCTCCCTGGCGGATTCGGCCCCATACCATTTAGCTTCACAGTTGGAGACATTTCACCACTCATCTATCCGGACCACAATGGACCTCTTGTAGGACTGAGATGTATTTACAATTGTCCAATAACTGGGAATTAATCAGTGTCCTGTGTATCATGTCCTCCACAGCTCTGAGTGTACATTATATTAGTTTATAGAACAACGATATTTTCAAAACAATTTTATTTTGGTAATATCTTGGTGTATCCCAATAACCTCTAACAAGTAATAGAACTGCAACGCTAAACTATTCCACTGCATCACTAGTCGACAAACATTACATTCTGGAAAACGTTTTTGTGCCATGAAATACATTGGCAGAAATCCCAATAAATATCAGGGATTTTTTCCACCGAATATTCGAATTGAATAAACGATTTCACTAGTTGACCGACCATTCTAACATCGATTATTTTCAAAAACTATTTTAAACAGGTTTAATCTTGAGATGGTGCAGAAAACTTGTAGCTCAGGTGGATGATTGTGGTGGTGTTTCGTTCTCTGAGCTCCGAGAACAAAACACCACCATAAGGTTTAATCTTTTCCAAAATATTTTTCAGAAACTCGTCAGTCTTTAGAGTGAAATATTCACTGAGTTCATTATCAAAAAACACTGAAATGACAACTGGAAAACAAATTACCTACAGTCACACACACACACATGTGCACACCTTGTTCACAGATTTATAAAAATCCACAGTCAGTGAGTGAAATAAAAAAAAACAAAGGAGTACACATATAAAACGCATATGTAGTAGCGATAGTCTAAACATTTCTAATACCTTTCATCAAAGTTTGAAGGAATAAATAGTCTACTACTAGAGTTAGGGGTCGAACTGATGTACGACACCAAAGACACCAAATGATATTTGTAAAAATCTCAGTGATTCTACTTTAAATAGTAAATACGACGTTATACAAACAATCGGCAACCAATCCTTAAGTAAGCTTTTTCAACTAGTCTGAACAGCTAGCTATAAGTCAGAATAATTCAATGAGATGCATGTAATGCTATAATATAGAGTGTTGTCAGTTCATTTCGGAATACAAAACAATATTTATTATTATTATTATTATTAATATACTAATCGTGTATAAACAAAGCATACATGTATAGATAGATATATATATATATATAGATAGATAGTTATATATATATATAACACTCGTGTAATAAACAAAAATTAATTAAAGATAAATTGAAATAAATAAAAAAAATGATATGCATTGTAATTTTTATAAGGCGAAAACGTAGTACAAAAGAAAAAAAAATGGAGGGAATGATAAACGGAAGATATGTATGGAATACGGGTTTACTGTGTGTTTACTGATCATCCATCGTCTAGCCATATTTCTTGAATTAGCTTTTTTTCTCCAGGAAAACCAGTAAATCACTTATCACTGATAAAGTTCATAATAATAATAATAATAATTATTATTATTGTTATTTGCTTATTTTATATTCATTAACATCATTCGCATTTTTTTTTGTTCAACTTTGTAGATAGTTGTATCACCACCTCAGGGGAATGGAAGCTAGAATAATAAAGCTGAAATTTGAGGTATGAAAAAGTCATGAATATATATGTATAAATATATATCCATAGAATAAAGTCACGTTTTAAGATGACATTTTCAAAGTGTTACAAAATGAAATATACCACAGATTTTGATATGTGGAAAAAACAACGATATGTTGTGAACAATCGTTAGAATCTTTGCTAGTTTATTTATTGTAGAATGTAAATATAGTGAACAATTAATTCTATTCAATGTGAATAAGTTATTGAAATATATAACAACGGTGGTACTTGTTCCTAGATCCTTTATTCTTTTATAGACGTTATGCTTATTGTAGATGAATATGGCATTTTTGTGAATTGTAACGAAAAGTTTATGTAGAGAAAAAAAAGGAAGACAATATAAAGCACCTCCTATATCAAAAAAAAAAAAATTCAACGGCCATCATAATAAGAGTAATAAAAACAAATAATAAGCGATGAAGTTACACAGATTCATACATATATATATATATATATATATATATATATATATATATATATATATGTAGAGAGAGAGATATGTTGTACGTGAATAAAAAAAAATGAGGTTTCATTTTGTTGGCTAAAATGCTAACAACAGCATATTCTTTTAAAAAAAACAGAAGTATTGTTTCCTATGAGAGATTAAATTCATAAAAGTTTATCATACAGTAAGTAATTTTAATGAAATTTTTCAAATTCAGAATACAAATTAACATTGTTTATTATAATAAATAAGCAGTAGTATTTATTAAACTAATTTGGAATAGAGTGGAAAACAGTTGAAAAAACAAAAACAAAACCGAATTCATAAGAATTGTTTGAGTGATATAGATAGATAGATAGATATACAAGAAAACAGTGGACTGATTGATAGAGAGAGGGATAGTTCACAATTATTTTATGTAAGTAATTTTTCAGGTCATTTGTTTACAATTTATGGAAGGAAGATTGTGACAACAAATCCAGTCTTCTCTTTTCAATATTTAATCTGCCGCCATTCGTTTATTTACTCCTTCATACACTACTAAACACTTTCGTGAAAGTTTTCTTCAAACATTTGAACAGATGCTTCAGATAAAAACATTGTTAAACCATTTGATGCATTAAAAGTTTGTGTATCATTTAACCATTGTGACTCATTTGTCATAGATTCTTGTAGTGGCATAATATCATTTTCAGCTGCCAAATTTTCAGGCCATTGAGGTTGTTTCTGTTGATGGGCTTTATTGCATAGCAGACTATCAGGAATATCACTGGTATTATTATTAGTAGTAGTATTAATAGTCAGAGAAGAATTATTCCATTCATGTGATAGTGAATCAGAGGAATCAAGAAAATTGTCATTATTGAAACTAGCTGTTAAATTAAAGTCAATATCCAGTGGAATATGTTCATTACTTTCAACTAATTCATTTATTGAGTCGAAATTAAAATCAACAGAGTCTAAAGCAAGCTCTTCCAAGAAAGGATTATTATTATTATTATTATTATTGCTGACATCATTTGAAGAGCGAATATTTGTTGAATCGGTCGGTTGTTTAAAACTGCTTACAAAGGAATCCGGCTTCTTTTTCTCTTTTTTAAATAAAAAGGAAGATGTGGTCAAAGAGCATGAAGAAGACTGTAGAGCTGATGATGTTGGTGATGATAAAGATATAGGTGATGAATGTAGTGTTGAGCTTGAATGAATGCCTGATTCAAAACTTTCATTGCTAAATAAGTTGAAAGACTCATCATTATGTTTACTATCGGTAAATAAACAGTCTAATTCATTCTGATCATCATCGGACAAAAATACTGATGCCCAGGTAGGTAACTTTGACTTCTCAACCGTTGACGGTGTATTCATGAAATTGTTATCAGTTTTTTTAGATAAGAAGTGGGTTTTCTCAGTAGAATCATTTATAAAATATTCTGGTTCTACTATTGAGTGTGATATTCTCAAACCATTATTATTATTATTATTAATATTATTATTATTATGTGGTGAACACTGATTTTCTTGAGTATCACACGATGAAGAATGGAGGCTATTCGTAGAGCTACAATACAAGTTAGTATTATTCGAATGACAACAAAAGACTGAAGAGGGAGAATTTGATAAAGATCCAGATAAGCCGGTAGTTTCTGTGCTGTTAGTAGTCATGAAGTGAGAACTGTATTGGAATTGTTGATCACTTAAAGATTGATAATATGTATTGTGATTCGGTAAACAGTAATCTTTGTATAAATCACAAGACGATAAATTATCACTTTTAACTACTTCAGTCTTTCTCAATTCTGTATTCATATAATTACATATCGTGTCTACTTGACGGTTTTCAACTTTGTTTAGCAGTGACCAATGATTATGTGAAGCTTTGGTATCATTCTTAAAATTAGTATTATCATCATTATTATGATTATCATTTTCTATGTAATTTAATAATGGACTTAGTTCACTTTCTTGCAACTGACTGCCATAATCCCATTCCACCCCTTTATTCTTATCTTGCTTTTTTTCCTTTCTTCGATCAGTAGTTTCCAAAATACTTTTGTCTTCCCAATCATTTTCTTGTTTACTACTTTCCAAATTACTCTCTGTAACTGGATATGGACGAGGAAGTGACCAACGGGAGTATCTTTGACGTGGCTAACGAACAAAATCGATTACAAAAACAGAGGAGTTTTGTACCAATAAGAACCTGACATGATTACACAAATAAATAAATATTTTTGAAATTATAAACTAGATATGAATAAAAAAAAATACATTTTAACAAAATATGATCTTGACTATAAGTTTATAATTCAGTTGTTTCCGCATAAAAATTCTCTTCAGTTTCTATTTGTAAGGGTTTCGATTTTCCCGTTATTGTTCTTAAAAGATGCAACTGATCATTCTCTGTTTGCATGTGTTTATCTTCGATGGATTACCTTGATGTCATCATTGAATCACAAATGTTTTTGGTAACGGGAAAATATAAACTCTTACAAACAAATTTCCTACTCATTGTACAAGCTAGTGTATACCATTACTCAGTAACCGACCGAATATTACGTTTACATCTGAAGTGAAAGATACTGGTTTCGAGTCCTAGTGTGAACATCAACATATGGGTACAAGTGAATCCACCTGATGAGTTCCAAATAGGATGAAACACACATCCTGGGCTGCGCTACTAGGCATCAATCGCATTTACCAGACAACTTGTTTAATCTCTGCTAATAAAATGAACAATATTATTTGAACAAAAGTTTCATATCTCTACTCGCTTACAGCTATCTTCACTAATAATGGGTATACTCCAATGAAACATTACTGGAAATCAATAACTAGATGATTTAAATACTTTAAAATAAATATTTCTTTTTCTGAATTTGAAATAGTTCTATTCTAGATACTCAGGTATGAACGCTTGTGCGGTTTACAGCAACTGCCGTCCCGAAGTTTTCATGCATAAATCGAAAAGTGAAAAATTAGAGTAATGTAAATAACCATACAGATTTTGTGATTTATAAACTGTCGACAAACTAGGATTGATTTTGGAAATAAGCAGAAATGAACATGCTAGTGGCTTACGTTAAAATAGCAACTATTTTTATCTTATATGAATATAAACATTTTAGCCCTTATTATTTCTATATCAATCAACTTGCTTCAAATTGAGTATCACTATGTCAATCATTCGTATTTTATTTAAGACACCAAAGAATGCCAAACTTATTAACATCTCATAATGTACACATGAATTCAAGGACCGTATTTAGCTTTTGAATAGAGCAGTTAATGGATAATCGGTGGGACTAGACTAACTTCTTAAACTACCCTGCTCAAACTGTAAGCTGTTTGAAAGCTTTAAAAAGTAACGACATAAGTTGCTCTGTTTTCTAGTTTTAGAAATGGAACTCATTATATCATGTTGTTGTATACATTCATGTATAACTCGTAGGCTCCATTACACTGTCGTTTTTCAACCACTGTTTTGGATGATCAGCAACCATTTCCCCTGAACAACCTAGGTTCATTTATGAGTTCATGACTAGGATTAGCATTTGCGATTAGTGAAATATGTTTTAATAAAATTATGACCTTTTGTGTTACCGGCTTACATCAGTGAAATGTTTATTTAAGAAGTTTTTCAGGTCTCTACACAATATTAAATTAGATCATTATCGAAACAGTTACTGATTTCAAAGTCTTTGAAACCCTCCCTAGAATAATGTATGGTCGTACTGACTACTTCACGTAATCGAAGTGTTTCTGTTTACTATGTGTACCTTCTCATTCGAGCAGTTCGCTTATAAAGGAATCAGTTACGCGTGAAGTGTATGTGTAAAGTAGACTATGTTCAGAATTAGCTATAAACACTTCGGCAAAATGTTTTATATTTTAATGTATATGTTATATTTTAGCCGAGTCATTTTTCCTTTGAATAAAACACAAATGACTTCCACAAATGTAAAAATTAATGGAAATAAAGTGAATTACAAAGAATTTTCAAATAAATTTAATGTAAATATGTCATATGTTTGGTAGTTACCAGTTCGTCTTTCTGAACGTATTTGTATTTCTGACACCCTAGTACATTTAATTACATGAATTCGATATTTTCCCTTTATTTATTCAAAAGGGAACAAAAATTACCAAAGATTAGGTTGAGTGAGCTATTTATGAGTTTTTTTACTCATATAACACCCTAAAAGTTGAATATGTCTGTTCAACTATCGGAGTGAGGAGTGAATTAGTTTGTCATTCTTTCGAACTGCGTCATGAGTAGATACAAATTCGGTATGCTTTAGTAAATTCTCGAATTTCAATTGGCTAGTTAATTCTAAATGGAAAAATATTTTTAAAAGACTCTACATTTTAGACAAAAAAATAATCCATTTCTTTCGTTTGGGTTTTTGTCACTGCTAGGGGACATTAAGTAACAAGCAATATATATATATATATATATATATATATATATATATATATATATATATTTATAATAAACTGTAATTAAAATATAAGAGTTGGGTTGGAGAATAATGCCAACCGAATCTATAGTGGTAATATTCGTTATTGACAAAGAGCTTCCAAAGGCGTAAACTTTGCAGTGAGACTGATCGTTTAAAACGTCCCATTTTAGATGGTATAACCAAACCCTAAAATAATTTGGGAATAATACTGAAAATAATCTTTCTAAATTGAAAAATATTAGCTGGCTCTGAGGCTTTTTACGCCGTGAAGCTGTATATAAGGACCATACGAATCCATGTAATGGCTTTCATAGTTACTTTTTATAAAAAATCATAACAAAACAGGATATAGTTTACTACCATATTATACCTGAAACAGACAAGAGCACATTAATTTTTTATAAAAATCTTTTCACTATAACCAAGAAAATTTTTAACAGATTATTTACATTCACAACAATTACTTACTGGTAGCACTCGAGTAGGAAGTGCTTTTGTTTCGGTAGATCCACACTGCTTGATTGTTTGCTTCGATTTCGATCGTTTTAAACGTTCAGTAATGGAATTGCGATTATTGATACGAGACTTATCCAAGCTAGCTTTTGATTTTGGTTTACAAGATGAATAGTAATCTGACTGCTGATCCAAGAGACCGGTATCATTATTATCATTACTGTTGCGTAATAGAGGCTGGGTTTTATAACTAACTGAATTCATATTAGAATTATTATTCATTCTGGTTTTTCTGAGACACTCTGAGTGATTTGGATCATACACGTTCAATTTGGGGTGGATATTGGGTGATTTATGTATTACATTTGTTGTTGAATGATTATTTTCAATCAAAGACTGTGAGATCTCATTGTCTGAGAAACCATCATCTGACTCAAATATAACATTTTGTGCAATACTTTCCTGTAAGTGATTTTTAAACAACGGACTCTTGCGTCGATGACATGGCATTGTTTGTGGTAGATATGACTGTGATATATTAACAGATAAGGAAAGAGGTGGTAAAGTTGATGAGTTGTTCACTTCAGAATGTATGCTACGGTTCATGATAAAGGTATGAACTCCGTTTGGATATGCTGCGTGTCCTGGGGTTTGTGGAATTCTGGCAGACTGTAAACTCGCAGGTGAGCCAACAGAAGGGAATGATAATGGAGATGAAGATAAGGAAGAGTTAGAAGATGGTGACAGAGCTGCGATGTGATGGGTCTTAACTGGATCTGTTGGAGATTCAGAGATACAAATATTTGTATTGAATGAAGTTGCAGTGACAGGATTGCCCATCGAAACAGATGACGGAGATAGCATTAAATTTCTTGGCAACAGTGCTTGTTGATATTGACATTTTTGTTGCATTTTACGTTGCTGTAATAACATGGACCTTGGGATTGGTGGTGGAGGTCCTGGAGGAGGAGCAGCCCGTCGACATTTGGCTAAATTAGCTTCAAGCCAATCAATATGTCTTGGATTTACTCTCCAGAAACCACCCTTACCTCTTTCACCCTTATCACGAGGAACCTTCTCAAAACATTTGTTGAGTGAAAGATTGTGACGCACGGAGTTCTTCGAAAGTTAAAATAAGTACATGCAGTGTTTTTGATTAATGTTTCTATTAAACTATAGCTTTTAAATTTAACAAAAAGCTACTCAATAACTTTCAAAAATTGCATCTCGTAAATGCATGCTGACATCGGAAATTTAGGACTTCTGCTTTACAACAAAGCAACATTTACCACAACAAACTTGGATAGAAGAATAAATAGTGATAATTTTTTATCAAAGACATTATTAAATCATATCGACGTATCGCAAAAAGTGATAAACAGATTTTTAAGTAATTATATGTCTAATGATTGCCTTCCATATTAGGCGACAAGATCAGAATAAATAACTATCTGTCACTAAATAAAATAAATTTGTTGGTAATCTTGGTAATAAGTAAGTTAATTTTGAACTCGAAATCGCCACATTTGCTGGATATCTGATCAACAAAATCATTAAAACTGAATCAACCATTTAAATCCCAAGACAACTGCAAACTAGTGTCGTTTCTCTAAGTTATATCAAGATCTTTGACAACGGTTTACTCTCATGGACTGTATGCTATAGTTCAGTACCATAAGAACTTTAAACCTCAGTAAACAACCAACTAACTATAGTTTATTCGATTTAAAAATGAATATTATTTCAAAGTTACCCACTTATCTACAAAAAAGTTCTGTGTTCCAACTTAAAAAAAACTTGCCAATTAACCAGTTGCATACAGTGTGAACAAATTTGAATGTGGATGTTGCCGCTCTCTGTTACGTCTAAACCTTCATGACTACACAACTTATTTTCGTGCATAGTGCTGATCTTTCCGGTATTTTCATCCTGCTTTTTACTACCGAACTAGTAAAGCCTACCCGTTATACTAATTGCAGTTTAAACACCAATCGAAAGTAATGGCAAGAAAACATTCTGACTAATTTCTTGCATTGGCAGAAGGTATTGTCTATGCACAGCATATTGTTTGTTACATGCGTATTTGTGTGTCATTTATCCAAACTAGTTAGGTATAGAGTTAGTTATATGAAATAGAAAACACACTATTTATATGTTCCAAGAAAAATATCACTTGACTACAGACGTAAGACTCGTAAATAAAGGTAAAAGAAATCTTATCACCAAAACAATAAAACTGAATATAGATTATAATATGGATAAGTCACTATAAAATAGTGTACAAAACGCATTAGAATTAGATTTTTTAAATCTTTGTTACATTTTAACCAAGACATTCTTGTAAGCCTTCAGTAATTGTCAGAATAGCCAATATTATAAATTTTCCTGATATTACAGTAATGAAATTTAACAAACTCAGCCTCTTCCAATACTGAAAATTCATAACACTAGTAAATTGATTATATAATATATCATGCACTAGATGCACAGAAATTCAAAACTTGTATCCCGTAGGCCTGATCTATAATTCTAAACCGTTACCTGTTTAACATTTTATCCTGTATGAACTTGAACTCTTGCATAAGTAATATCATCAGATAACTGTTTCTTATTTGAACATGAGTAATGAAGAAATATTTTGGGTCACAATCAACTTCAATAATTCAAAATTTAACGTATAGAAACTAATCGATCTTCACAAATTAGGGAATATTTTCTAATCAACTGCAAACGACGAAATTATTGTTTTAAAAAAAATTGACCCGCATTATGGTCAACGTCAATCGAGTATTTCAACTTGAAAAATATTATTATTTTAATTATCATCGAATTTTTATTGAGCATAGAATGTAAATCACAATCGTTGTATAATCAATCGTGTATGTATGCAATATAATTCAGATAAATCTTGATAGCCCTTATATCACACAGTTAGAATGTAAACTTCGTTTTGAAAATTATTATGATGAAACAAGAAATCTGTAACAAAAGTAGGTACGAAAAACAGAATATCCTGACCGATCGATAAACACTACCGAGTAATTAACTAGTTCGAACAAAAATGCGGGCTTTTAATACTAAATAACATAAAATTAAAGCATCATAGTAATAATATGTTAAGAACATTTCAGTTTTTTGTTTTATTTCGTCCGATAAAGATACGTAATCGACACTTTGGTGACAGACTGTAAATTGCTTTAAGAAAAATAGATGCACCAAATTTTTCTCTATATAAAGTCCAACTTATCAATCTCCAATTAGTTATAATTGTATCACATTGTATTTTTGGAAAATAATGAAATTTCATCACCCTCTTAAATGTCAGAATGTCAGTTATTTTTCTGCTAGAAATATATCTCCTCCTCTTGATGGAATATTTTGATAAACAGATTAATAAATAAACATAGTCTTAACGTAAAACCTTTTGGGTTTTGTTGAAAGGAGAACCCAATGATAATGCAGTGTAGAATCCAGTTTTGTGCATAAATATAAAAATGACTACCGTAATTGGGAAAAAAATAATATAAAAGATGCATGGATGGACTTATTTAAGATCTTGCAAAATACTCAGTCTAAAGTGAAATGTTAAGTCGTCTTACTAGTGACTCTACTACATGTACTGCCATATAACTACCACCAGTAATAAATTGACCGAAATCCTGTTAAATTATTATATTAGCCTATTAAAATATGTACTAATCACGAAATTTCATTTATAAGTCTCAAGCACACATACTCCGTCATGTAATTCAGATTTGTTTATCAAATATGGCTGTAACCAATGGAAGCATCTGGTTGATTTTCACTAACACTTCTCTCGATTATGTAATAAAACTAAAACATCGTGGATACTAAGTATTTATTCATAAATTATCTATTTGTAAAGTGTTTCAATCTAAAAAAAAATCAAAAATTTTAAAATAATGTTCAAGACGATGGCTATCATGGTCATTCGATTTAATTATTAGTTGCTACCTGTCTGGAAAATATCTTAAGCTTGAAAAGTTAACTGAAATTTGCTGTTACAACAACACAATTTACGCATAGCTAATCGCCATCATGTCTAAAACTCTTCAAACAAATTTTGTTGTTCAATTAATGCATAGCCTCTTAGAAATTACTGGATAACCAATTTTTCCATTCAAAATTTCATTTTAAAACAAGAGAATTAGTGTTAGAGAGAGAGAGAGAGAGTGACACAGTGAATTAGTAATTGAAATTAATTCCTAAATAATTTAACTGAATATGAAAACATAATAATTCATCATCAAATAGAGAAGATACACACTGAATTAATAATATTAGTTGTTGCTCTAGGAACAAATAAATTTGGCTGAATTATAATCTAATAAAGTGACCCAGACAATAAAAGCAAACGTGATTAACTGAAATTTTAAACATCAGCTCAACAGGAACTGAATGACAGAAAAGCAGAATTTTCTTATGAATAATTTAATTTTCCACATGAGTAAAATGGATTTCAACATTTTTAATTTTTGTAACGGATGGATCAGTGAAAGTAAATCAAGTATTAGGTGCATCGATCCAATATGATCATCCAGAAATACCAATGAGCAATATTACTAAATGATTTCTACCAAACTTCTGAATACTATGCAGTTTTAGAATAAGACCTAATTTATGATAACATTATTATCATTACTATTGCTACTAAACTACTACTACTACTAATAATAATAATGAGTATAATAATAGTCTAGACACAGATACTAGAAGACTTGCGAAACTTTCTTATTAAAAATCCTACATACACTACACATACGTATATATGGTATAATGCAAGAAACTTTGAACAGTTTTGATTGATTATTCAAAGTGTAAATGATTTTAAAAAGTAACAAGTAGAAATTAAATTTACCCTTCTTATAATTCTTCTTCTGGATCAGCTTGTAAGCTGCATCCGCTTCAAACTGACTGCAGGGCAAGTGTTCTAAAAATGCACGTCATTATACTTGATAAACAACTTGATATATACATATATATATATCTTAAAACCACAAGTTATATATAAAGCACTAAACTAACTGTTGAGTGGTGATTTGTACATTTTGAATAAATACGTATATTTTTATGGAAATATCCAATATGTAAAATCAGCTTGACTTAATTTACGAATTCGTCAAATAATGTCTAAAATGACTTGTTTTATATCCTAACATAATTTTTGATACTATCACTACTGGAATAGAGAAACTACTATCTTAATGAGATATCAAATTTACATGATCAAATATCCGTATGCATACATTTATGTATGCGTTTCACCTGCTGGGCAGATATACAATATAAAGTTAAGTAAATGATAACCTCTATGAAATGAATATTATCTCTCCTTAAACTTAGTAAATTTAAAACCATAACTTATTGTGTAAAAATTGAATTTATGATCGGTTTTAGTGTTGAGAAAATGTAAGTTTTTTTCTGAAAGTATGAGATGTTTAGTCGAATTTAAATCTAAATTATTGTCTGTTAAGAAATAATGAAAACAAATAAACGCATTGGTAGAACAGTTCAGTCTTTCTTTTGTATTAAACATTCGACGGATAAAGACTGTAACTGTGGATACTGGGATTTAGTAGTTAGTTAAATATATTCAGTTACAAGGCTACATAATATTATTAAAAATTTCTTAGGTATCAAGCTATCTACCTGAATGATGAATTGGTCATAATTAAGCTATCACACATGATGAAAGTAGAAAATTTGTCGGCAAATTGCTTACAAGCATAAGGTAGCTAGCTAGTTATAAATTATTCAGCTTTTGATAATTGAACGAAGTATGATACTCATTTGTTTTCTAACACAACGAAAATAATGAAACGCATATATGTGTAGTAGAAAATCTGAAGTTAGTAGTATTTAGACATTCATAAAGAATCATGGGATTTTTAATCTTCAAATGGTCAATCAATCCTTATTTATGGCCTTAATATAGATAAAACCTGAAACTTTAGTGATTTTATACGATCAAGCTGACTTTCCGACAGCCGAAGCGTATTGAGCTGGCTGACATTTTAAAACTTTTAAAATAAAGAGTATTACGAAATAATAAATCTACCTTAGTTTGAAATATTCTGAGAGTATAATATTATTACTTTAAATCTATCAAATAAAAGCTTATAATTTTAAATTATGAAGGACTGTATTAAATAACCATTTAAATTTTATGGTTGATCGATTCATATGTGCATGCACACTTAAGCGTGTAAAAAAAATAAATTGTTTGCTGTAAAACAGAATGTTTATATCTTCAGTAACCAATATTTGTTACCAAAAAAAACAGCACATTCACAAAGCCTTATCATAATAATTTGCATGAATTAACTATTCCACAACTCTTGAGAAGTATATTGCCAAGAAACAAAATTAACATTGAAGACGGAATGTCATTAAAATATGAAAATTTTTGGACATAATGGTGTTTTGAAAAGTTAACCCATACAGGTTTCAGAAAGTGGTAAATGTTTCTAAATAAAAATACTGTTCTCGTATAACCGTAAGTTGTAAGTAGCATTTTCTCGACATTATTTAATTAATCTGATGCTCATTAAAAGAGTGCCAATTTACTTTGATGTTCACTTGTAATATGTCTACTACCATTGTCAGAAGCATAGACCTACTCTGTCTGTGATTCCCTGATATGCTTTTATCAAATTAAATGTTTAAGACTGCCGGTTTATAATGATGTCAATGATATTTTTAGGAGGTTTTCTTAAAGAAATCACTCAACTGTCTGGTTAGCTGATAAAAATTGTTCGATTCAAAGTGTAACAAAGATAAGTTGAAAGACACAGTTCTGTCACCATTGGCAGTTAATCAACAGACAGTATGTAAGAAAAAGTTAGACTTGAAACTCTTATAAATTTCTTGACATAACTATTGAGAAAGCTGAAATTCTGTCAGAAATCAACCCAGGAAAACTGAAGCACGGACCTCAGTTTTCGCAACACATTCAATCGATCGCGAAATAGAATGCAAGTTAGATAGAAGGTTTAATAACGAACACAGAAACTTTCAAGTTGCTGGCCAACAGTGGTTTTGCTTTTTGAAGCCATAGTTTTGGAAGGCAGAACACTAGTTCGGTTCGTTATTAATGTTCAATTTCTTAAACCGTTCTCACGACCTAATATCAACAGTCATGAACGGTTGACCCCATTAAAAAGGGGAGGTATTGTTTAAAGTAAAAAAATACCTAAAAATACATGTACTCTCTTTCCTGTCAAAACATTTATTATGTTGTTATAAAGGAAACATGGTAGTTACTTAGATACACGAGTAACATCAAAGCGATGTAAGCAAATATTTGGACTCATCAGACTTCAAGACGCTAAGAAGGTTGTATAGAAATCTCATTTGATCATCTGCTCCAGCTGTTTAATAATAATGGCAAAAACGGTCGAAAGTAACAGGTTGTGTTCGAATCGTAATAGTTTTCGTGAGATCACCAAGATTCTCACTTAATAACACTATGATTTAAGTTGCCGTGCCTCATTAAATTAAATTTGCTGGTGGTGAAGTGAATAATCCCTATCCAAAAAGTATCACGGAAGTACTTTTTGTCGTAAATATATTTTAAATCTTTAGCTAGTTGATAGAAAATCTGAAAATAAGTCTACTGAGAAATCGGCTATTCCGTGCAAAAACCCTAAGGACGATTTGGTTAAGTGATATTTCCTACTAGAAACCATGTCGTCAAGCAAAATAGGCTTATTTGGTTTTTCAGAGAAGCTATTTTATCAAAATTTTGTAACGACCAGAATCCAAGAGCGACGTTTACAAGAAAAAAGCTTTGTATGAGACATATACCAGCCTTCTGCCTTTTAGCTTAAAAGTAAACCTGGGTTTGACATTGGTATATTTTCAACAAATCTGAAAAATACATAGGTCATTAAATTCTAAAATCTTCATGTATATGGTTTTACTCAATTTTCATGTTTTTCAGGATTTTCAAACTAATTTTGTCCTAAAATAGACACCTAATGTCGGGTTTATGCCTAACAAAAATAAGTCCGTCAATGTATTCTAATGGAACTTTTGGTATTTGTTAGCAGAAAGAGCTGTGAATGTATTGTTTTACTAATTTATGTTGATTTTCATAGTGATTTAGGTCTCTTATCCCCTTCCAGTAGTTGCATTTTTCAATGAAAACAGACATATGAAGACAAAATTATCCCGAGAATCAGGCTATTTTTATCAAAGACGTTAGCTTAAATGACTAACAACTTTTAAATAATCACCTCCAAATTCTGAGTTTGATGTCATTTTACACCTTAATGAAACTCCCAGAAAGTTTGTTCTAGATGTATTTACTGTATATTATTTATGTATTAGTGATTAATTTACCGATAAATCAGTTTTTAAAAGTAATCAGAGCGTTTATGGGAACATTTGATTTGCATTCAAGAGTAGTTGAGGTGTATTTGATTATTTGAGGATTAAAAGCAACACTAGATGAAGGATTTAGATCACGGCTGGGTTTAAACAGATTAATCAGAGTTTTTAAGAAGTTATTTGGTGTATTTACTCATTCACTGCTATAAACGGACAATATGCAAGTGCTTACAGATTATCTAAATAAAACATTAGAAGTATAATTTAAATTATAGGAGTTGGAGTTCTAAATCAACTTAAAAACAGTGACATTCGGGATTTTACTTTCACAGATGTGACAAATAAATAAATTTTGTGAGCCCTACAAAATTTCAAGGTTCCATAATGGAGATCTATCCAAGTATTTAAAAGAGCTGGAAGGGCTATGTACAAATGCTGATTCTAATTTGTTATTACCAGTTTAAATAAGCTTAAATGACTTTCACGTTTACTATCGAGCTCTGAAACTAAAATCGAGAGGTCAAATTATGAACAGTAGCTTCGACATACAACGTGAAAGTTTTAATATTCTTTTAGCACAGAAATATAGTGGCCACAGATCTTGTGAATGAACACCTGTTAGAAGAGTAAATAGCACTAAAGTCTTCATCGACACAGCCCATAAAAATAATAACTTTTTAACGCGTGTGTACTTCATATATCTTTTTCTCCATGGTGTCGATGAACGTAACGAAAACGTTGCCAAAGCTGTTTGCAAGGAACCTTCTACATTTTTATTATGTCAATAACCTGTCTGAACTGGATTAGCTTATATCAATCAACTTAACAAAAGCGAAGCCTCACGTACACAGAAATACAAACTAATTTTCATCTGACCTGAACAAGACTTTCAGTGATTTCAGAATAATTTTTTCAATGTTACATTAGGGAATCTCTACTGGTAGCCATATTATTATTGACCACAATAACATACTATCACTTAGATCATCAAAACAATTAAGATATTCTCTTCCTCAACTCTCAAATTCCTCACTTCTATATTAACAGTGACACCTGGAAATGAATGCCCATTCAAATATGAAATAAATGCAACAAAATAAACCCATTTAAGCGAGAATTGATAGATTTGCAAATTGTTTTCACAAAAGTTTGTTTTACTGTCGAATTAATAAAAAAGTGCCCCAAGTAAAGCAACTGTCTAGTTGACCTGATAAATAGATAACATTCAACTCATTTTATATGATGCCTTAATTGGTGAAATTCAATAAATTTATCTCCTCCCAAATCCATTGAATAAATTTCAGATTGACACTATGCATAAAGTAATGAATGGACTAGTTGTTGTTTTTGTCTCAAACTTATCAAGAGAAAAAATGTGTTTGGAAACTAATCATGAGAACCTAGCAATATTGCATATTTCTAATAAATATGATACATCTAAAAACTAAATATCAGTAAAAGTTACAGAAATTTGAATCAGAATATTTATTTGCAATTAAGCAAACTTCTTACCTGCCAGCTAGAATCTGTGTGTCGATAATATGCAAAATTATTCATTATCCAACCATATATATCCGATAATGTCACTTTTGGCTTGCCAAGTTCGCGCATTGCCAGGCAAATAAGAGTTGCATAGGAGAAAGGGGGTTTGCCAGTCCATTTTGTCCGGTATTCCAATCGTACTTTTGGATCTAACAAGCTACCTGTAATAGGCTGATTCACGTTGCAAGAATATTTATTGTAATTATCTATTAAAAGCAGACATTATATTTCAAACAAAACAAACCATAGAGAGATAAACGCATATTCATTTCCTGTCCATCATAATGAGCTGCAGCCTCTAAATTCATCGAAATCGGGTTGGCATCCTAATAACATATTTAATTACAAATAAAACCCTTACATATAGCCAGGTCAAACTAGTTAGTGAGTCATCTGTTTGATCTAAACCTGATAGCTTTTGCATCCAATTTTTTCTCAGTTTTTCAGCCAACAACTTGAGGTTGTTACCGTGCAAATCAAGTGAGGGAGCATATATATTTATTGACATGTATGGCAGAGAGTGGGAAATTTTTTAAAACTGGAACAACAACTATGAGGTTAAAATTTGAGATCTCCAAAAATTAGTTGACGTATCCGAAAGAATTTATGTTGAATTTTCCCACCTGTCCGCTGACTAGATCGACTACTAAATTGGCTCGAAATAATGAAAAGCCTTCATATAAAGCGCCATTATCAGGTAACGTCAATTAAACTCTTGTTGTTTTGAACAATTAAAACAAAGACTTTGCATATTTTTACCTCTGTTTACAATCATTGGAAGCAGTTAAGCATTATTTTACTGGATCGTCTGAGATGCTTCCGAAAACATCAAAGTTCTCATTAAAGTGTTGTGGAGACTGTAGTCAAATGGGATGGAAAATACCTCAGAATATGATGGAAAATCTGATGACACGAAGCTATTGAAACTTTTAATTTCAGTTCAGTTCGACTAAACTTTCAAGTCAAGCAGATAATAACAGGCCAATTTTCGAATCTGAAACCAAAAAATGGTCTATTGCCGATTTAGTTCAGTTCACGCGTTCAACCATCATTCATAGGAATTGTTTCTGTTAGAAATTGGCACTATCAATAGATCTGTTGCATGGCCCTTGCCGACAGGTAGTTTCCCGACAGAAGTTCAGTTTCTTGTCGCATTTTAGTACGTTATAGTTGGATTCTTCCTTTGGCCAATCCATGTGCATTTCGTTGTTGAATCAAAAGGCCATCGAAACACGTCAGTCAGAAGTATAGTCTGCATGGACTTCACCGTACATTGCTCTCTGGAGATATGTGAGCGATCATGTTTAGTGATAGCCGAAAGTAAGTTGTGTCTTGCGTTGACGTTTGTTGATTTCGGAGAGGTAAGTTCATGAGGAACATGCTACTGCCAAAGATCCGCTAAGTGCACATAATGAACTTCCATCCATTGAGAATATTAATCAACAGCAATCATTAATCACGAGAAGAGAATCTGGAAAGCAAAATTACGGGTGGAAGTTGTGAGGATTTCAAATTGGTACATGACATTGTAAACAGAAGTATCGTAATGTATAATCATCAAATTGCTCTATTACACTGACAGAAGTAATACATTGTTGGCCAAAGCGTGATCTGGTGCAAGGTACTTACTGAAGGCACTTAACCGTTAAGCTGTAAGTCCTTTGCACTACTGAGAAATATACATGTCTGCGATTGTTATACTTTTTCAATCTTTTGAGTATTAGTGGCCCTGTTTTTAGACACCAAAAGCCCCCAACCACTAAAACAGTTCAAGCTCCAGAATAATGAACCACCTAATATCCGACTCCCTCATGACATTACAGAGCTCATTTATCAGGCATTATTTTACTCTTATTGTTATGTAAGTGCGAAGACTTGATGAATTATATTAATTTCTCTTTCCAATGAACCTTTGTGTTTCCGTTCTCTGCACCAGACTTTATTAATTTTTGATATATGAAGTTTCATTTCTCTTCTGATGCTTTAGATCCAAATTTATTTAGCCTTTGATTTTCGCAGGTGATGATCGCTGCCTAACTACTCGTGTTAATAGAGTTGATGGATTTAAGAACTATTTTTGACTCACCTAGTGACTACTGGAACTATGATTTTCACGAGTAACCTGAAGGTAACATGAGCCATCCTCATATATTTTATGAAACTGCAGCAACTATTATAATTAAATAAACACTTGAGGAATGGGTGTGAGCATGCTTTTTAATATTCTTCTCTCAACTAAAGTAAAGCTGTAGCAAAAGTGCTTCCGTATTTACAGAACTACGACGCAGTATCATCATCTACGAGGTAACTCCACATGCAAAATTACTTTCCTTCGAAGGGGAAGGAGTAACTCCTCGGTTTAACTATAGAAGGAAAATTTCTCGGTTTGTTCGACATTATGCAAGATATTTAAATAAATCGACTTTTCCAATTCACTTTGCATTCATCACGAATAAGTGACCCGTACGTGTTGGTATCTGAAGAACACCGTCTGTTTCGAATTATGACTTTCAAAGCATCATTCTAGATCATTACTGCCTAAACTGGTTTACTAAAAACAAATCTCACTTTTCGGTGGAGTTTTGTTCTCTGAGCTGGATGTTTTGGTTATGCAGCTCAAAGAACGAAACCACAATCATCCACCTGAGCTAAAAATTTTCTCTACCATCTATAAGTCTCGCCTTGTTAGTTTACAGGCAAGTTCAATTAGCTACAAATGCTAACACATTTATAGTAAAATTTTGATCACTGAGATTGATGTCTTTTTCCAAAAGCCAGTTTACGCCACTTCTCTAACAGGAACTATCTGATACAGTCATTTTTCCAGCAAGTGAATACAAGAGAGTGGGTATAGGGCAGAGTTCTTGGGTGGGACACATAATTCTAGAGTGACTTTCTTGGTAAGTGACGACTAATAAGCTCCTGGTATGAGCTGTGACCTTATCGAGTAAGTACATAAGGTGCATTCTGAGAAAGCTTTCGGACCTCCTCCAAAAAGTTAAGCCCTCTGATATAGTTATAATGGCTGGTGACTTTAATGCTCAAGTAGGTAGACTAAGTGAAAATGAAAGATACCTAGGTGGATGTTATGGTCTCGCGGCTCAGAGAACAGACAATGGTGACCGTCTGTTGCAACTGTGCTCAGATAATCGCCTATTTCTAGCAAACACTAATTTTAAGCATAAGGAGAAGCACCTTTTGACCTGGAGACCTCCAAAGTCGTCTCAACGTTGGACGCAACTAGATCATATCGCCTTCAGCCACCGATGGAGAGGTTCGATAGAGGACTGTCGCTCGTTGTGGGGCACATGTTTAGATTCAGATCATGCCCTAGTGCGAGCGCGTATTTGTTTGAGGCTTACTGGACGTAGGAAAGACACCGTGAGGTAGCCTCTTAGGGCTTTACTTAATGATAATCAAGCTAAGAAAATATTTCAGGAGGAACTAGAAACACAGTTAGGTGACCATGCAAGTGATTCCCATCCGGAGGCAGGTTGGAATGATATCAAGAACGCTGTGGAAACAGCAGTGATATCTGCTGGCAAGGTGGGCCATAAGCCTAGAAAGAAGTCGTGGATTTCAGTCGCATCCACCGATCTGATGGATGCTCGAAAACGCATCCCACCTGACTCTGAACATGATGAAGAGTGTAGTCAGCTTAGATGCAGACTTATAAAAAGCCTACGTAACGACCGTGAACAGTGGTGGGTGGCGAAAGCAAAAGCGATGGAACAGGCAGTGGCGATAGGCAACACTAGACAACTTTTCCGCCTTATCAAAGAAACCGGTATTAGGAACCCGAATGTAAGTGAGACTATCTCGGAAAAGGATGGTCTTATTATCCATTCTCAATCTAGGAGGCTGGACCGATGGGCAGAACACTTTAGGGACCAGTTCAACTGGCCTCGAGCCACACTACGGTTGCCCACGATCCCCAGTCATCCTGAATGGCAAATGACGTAAGCCCCCATAGTCTTAATGAAATTGAAAAAGCGTTAGGAAATCTGAAGCCAGGGCGAGCTGCGGGTCCTGATACACTGACCCCTGAGATATTTAAGGATGGTGGTCCAGTTTTAGCAACTAGGTTGACCGAGATCTTAGGTAGAATCTGGGAACTGGACGTAATCCCATCTGACTGTTCTCAATCGCTAATTGTCCCAATCTACAAGAAAGGAAAAAGGTCCTGTTGTGACAATCACAGGGGAATAAGTTTAACTAATATAGTTTCTAAATTGTTAGCCTCGATTATACTTAGACGTCTAACTAGAGCTCGTGAAGAGCAGATTAGAGAAAACCAGGATGGTTTCAGACCTGGACGTGGCTGTATAGACCACATCTTCACACTACGACAGGTCCTGGGACACAGACACACATTTAGACGTCCGACAATAGTCGTGTTCCTGGACCTAAAAGCGGCATTTGACTCAGTGGATCGTGAGGTTCTGTGGCAGTGTCTACCATTGAAAGGTGTACCGAAGAAGTACATTAACCTTATACAAGCTCTCTACTCGAACACTGCTGGTCGAGTGAGAGCTTATGGCGAAATGTCACCGCAATTCTCTACATCAAATGGTGTCCGCCAAGGCTGTCCAATCTCTCCATTCTTGTTTAACTTTGTCGTAGACATCCTTCTAGAGTTAACATTAATCTCGTCAGATTTTTCAGGGGTTGACCGTCTACCAGGAAAGTCGCTTACTGATCTAGAACATGCCGATGACATAGTTCTATTTGGTGGAGAAGCTGAGAAAATGCAGAGTCTTCTGACTACCATAAGCAAAACTGCGAGCATGTTCGAGATGCGGTTCTCACCCTCGAAATGCAAAATGTTGCTCCAAGACTGGGTTGCATCGGCACCTGAACTAGTGATAGGGAATGAAGTAGTCAAGCGTTTTGAACGCTTTAATTATCTCGGGAGTCTTATCAGCGCTGATAGCCTGGTGACTAACGATGTCTCGATTGGCTTTTGACAACTTGCGTCACTTATGGCGTAGGCGAGATATCCGTTCGTTAACCAAAGGATGGGTGTACTGCGCAGCAGTTCGCTCCGTTCTCCTATATGGCTGTGAAACATAGCCGTTAAGAGTAGAAGATGTTCGTAAATTACTAGTATTCGATCATGGATGTTTAAGAAGCATTGCTTGTATACCGTGGGACAACGGAGTAAGCAAGTAGGAAACGAGTACTAGGTAAGGGTGGCAGATCAATAGATGATGTGGTGAAACTTCATCAGTTGAGGTGGTCGGAACATGTGTTACGAATGCCTAACCACCGACTGCCTCGAAGAGCTATGTTTTGTGGTGTAGGAGTAGGTTGGAAGAAAGTTAGGGTCAGCTAAACCAAAACATGGCAGAAATCCATGAAGTGATTGACGAGTGGACTTAGCCATGTCGGTAGTTGTTTACTACCTGGTTGGAGTCCGCGAGATGATAATAATCGATGGTTAGAGACCTTGAATGACATGGCTCAAAATCGTTTGCAATGGCGCAAGTGCATCCATACGTTGAGCTCTCTCAAATCCTAATGTTCTGGAATAGTCGGCACCTCTACCTTTGTCTTTCTAACCTTATCTCACTGAATTATATTTCATGAATAATATCTTCAAACCCTAGTCTTCTTCAGTACGATTAATACCTCTACTATCTTTATCACTATGAGATTTGATTTCACATTTGCGTCTCTGTGCTTATATGGTATGGC